GTTCAAATCCCAGCACCCACATGGAAGCTAACAATTGTTGGTAACTCCAGTCCCAGTGGATCCGATAGCCTCTTCTGACCCACCCAGGCATTCTATAACATGGGTGCACTTACCTACATGCAGGCAGGCAATAAAAGCATGCACATAAAATTAAAAATAATTAATTAAAAAAAAAAAAAAAAAAAAAAACCTTAAAAAAAAAAAAAAAAAAAAAAACCTTAAAAAAAAAAAAAAAAAAAAAAAGTCACTGTATCCTTTACTGGCCAAGAAGGAAAACTCCCAACTTACTTAGTATTCTCAGGTACTGAGCTGAGGCCAGTGAGTAAAGACACTCAGGGATCTGACTGTACCTATCACCTGATGTGATTGGACAATGGAAGCCCCAGTGACACCTCCACCTGACCGAACGACTCTTTACATTTACCTCTTTCTGTTCTGCAGGGATGCTCTGTGGTCGGGGGCATGCTGCTGTCATACCATCCAGCTCATCAAACCCAGGAACTTGAAACTCAGAGGCCGAAAGCAGGAGTTTGTTGACAGCAGGTTCTGTTACCAAGCAAGACTTTGGTACCAAAGCAGGGAATGCAGGCTCTAGCCTAGCAGCACAGAGAGAGACAGAGAGAAAACCCATATGAAGTTCTTTCTCCCCCATTTCCAGTACATACACAACTTCATTTTTCCCATTTATATGTGTGTGTTCTTGTGCGTCTGTGCAGGTGCGTTTGGAGGCCAGAGGACAACCTTAGGACAATGTCCTACTTTGGTTGTCCTATCCACCTTGTTTTTTAGATAGTCTCTCACTGGCCAAGTAGGTTAGGCTGACAACTGATCCCCAGGGATCTGCCTGTCTCTACCTCCCAATGCTGGGATTAGAAGCGTGAGCCTTCACTCCAGATTTTTAACCTCGGCTCTGGGGATCAAACTCAGGTATTCATGTTTGCAAGGCAGGCAGTTTACTGAATGAGCTATTGTCCCCGCCCACATTTACCTTTTTAACATACAGACTAGAATGGATGATGTTTCTTCTTTCCAGGAATGACACCTCCAGTCAACCTGTTTTCTAGTTACTTCTAGACATAGCCTGGATCTATACAAGCGGAAAGTTAAAAGAATGTGGTCAATTCACTTCAGTGGAATAGAGCAGTTTTATAAAGAAACATGTAAATAAGGGTAGACTTTAGTGAGAAGACATTTTCGTAGACCGAGCAAATTTTAGCACCCACATGGTGGCTAAAAACAACCTGAAACTCCAGTTTGAGATCTGGTGCCTTCTCTTGAGCTCCACAGGCACTGCATGCTTGTGATGCACTTATATACATGCAGGCAAAACATTCATACATGTCAAGTAAAGATAAACTTAACTTAATGAATAATGCTCAGATGGGATCAGTCCCATTTAAGGAGTAACAAGACATGAAAATAGCTTGAGATGCTATTGAAAATAAGCTAAATAGGGGCTGGAGAGATGGCTGAGCGGTAAGGACACTGACTGTTCTTGCAGAAGACCCGGGTTTGAATATCAGCACCAACATGGCAGCTAACAACTGTCTATAACTCCAGGCCCAGGGGATCCGACAGCCTCTTCTGGGAACTGTCCTCCATGGGCACTGCACAACACGGGTGCACTTACCTACATGCAGGCAATATATGCATACACATAAAATAAAAATAATGAAGTATTAAAAAAAAAAAAGCTAAGTAAGTAACACATCTCTCCAGTCCTCAGACCTTGTGTGCTGAAGACTTACCTCACTTGACTACTGCTGGTGTTATATATAGCTTCCACGCCTGGAAGAGGCACGTTTGGTAACATGGTAGGGCTGAAGTGAAGCAAAAGTACAAAAGCAGCATGTTACAAGAGCAAACAACAAAGGTTCTGGTGCCAGTGTGGGTACTAGCACATGACAAGAGTCCTAAGAAAAATGCCCCTCCCAACATGAGAATGTGTTCATGTGTTCATCACTGGAATGGGGTCAGGGCTATAGGAAAATTTCTTAAGTGGGAAAAAAGGTAAAGAAAAATAGAGGGCAGTAAAAGAAAGGCCAGGAACAAGAGTGACTTGGGGCTGTACCATCTTTCAATTAAGCTGATGAGCACATATATTAAAGATTCCTCTATCAGTCGTGATGATGGCACACGCCCTTAGTCCCAGCACTCTGGAGGCAGAGATAGGCAGATCTCTGTGAGTTCCAGGCCAGCCTGGTCTACATAGTGAGTTCAGGCCAGCTAGGGCTACCGGGAGACCCTGCCTCAAAAAAAGACACAAAAAAGGAAAGATCCCTTTATGTGCCTTATTCTTAGCCAAAAAAAGATTAGGTTTGCAGCTGAGAGTGGAGGCACACACCTTTAATCCCAGCACTTGGTAGTCAGAAGCAGATGGATCTCTGTGAGATCAAGGACAGCCTGGTCCACATAGTCAGTTCAAGGCCAGCTGAGGCTACAGGGAGACCATGTCTCAAAAGTCTCAAAAAAAGAGATAACCTTCCAATTTCCATAATAGAATGCTAGAAATAAAGTACACACAAAATTCAACCGGTATAGTGGCACACAGCCATTATCAGAGCACCCTAAGGAGATCTTAAGACCTTTGCTAACCTGGGCTTTCTCTCTCTCTCTCTCTCTCTCTCTCTCTCTCTCTCTCTCTCTCTCTCTCACACACACACACACACACACATACACACACACACATACACACACACACACACACACACTCACAGAGGGAGGGAGAATATGTTATGGAGACTTAAGTTGACTTTTGTTAAGTATTGTTTTGGGGGCTACCCAATTATTTTGCTGGCAACACTTCTAATTGACTTTAATAAACCAGCAAAAATCTATCTAAACTCAGGCACATGATGTTGTGGCACTTTTAGAGTCAAGTCAATGAGCGAAAGTCCCTAGCAATACTACCCCTTAACCTTCCACTTGAATTAAAATAATATAAACTCCTGAGTTCCAGGTTACAAAGTGTGACCCTGTATCCAAACAACAAAAGTAAGTATGCAAATAGATAAAACAAAGTAGCAAAATTTAGGCCTAAGGAAATAAAAATATTCTAGGAAGTTGAAAAGCCAGGTGGGAAAGAGTTCAAAAGCAAAAAGGATCCAAGGGTCCCACCCCAGAGACTTAACTCAGGAATTCATACAGTTTAAAGAAAACAATGAGCCAAGTAGTCAGTCTGAAATCCTAGCACTTGGGAGACAGATGAGTATCAGGAGTTCAAGGCTATCTTCAGCTACATAAGTGAGCTGAGGGTCAGCATTTAAGTTGAGAGAGAGAGGGAGGGGGGAGAAGGGGGGACAAGAGAGAAGGAGAGGAGGGAAAATGCAATAGCTTATCTTATTAAATATTTTAGTTATTATTATTTGACGTGTGTTGAGTGGTTTGCCTGCATGTATATAAACACACCACATACATACCTGGTGCCTGCAGAGACCAGAAGAGGGTGTCAGATCCCCTGAACAGAGTTAAGGATGGCTGTTAGCCAACATGTGGGTGCTGGGAATTGACCCTGGGTCCTCTGCAAGAGCAGTCAGTGCTCTTAACCACTGAACCATCTCTCAAGCCCGTGCAACATAGTTTAAAGCTGTATGCCAGACATATAGCAGAGAACAATCATGATAATTTAGAGGCAGAACAATGAACTAGGCAATATAAGCAGTATGCCATCGTTTAAGACAATCTGATTCTCTTTATTTTTAATTTTTTAAATACTTAATTATTTAGTTTGTTTGCTTGTTTTAAAGACAGGGTCTCTCTGCAGTCCCAGCTAGCCTGGAACCCTGGAACTCAATAGGAAGACCAAGTAGGCCTTGATCACACAGAGAACTGCCTGTCTCTGACACCCAATTGCTGGAACACTATTACGTGGGTATTAATCCATTCTGTATGTATGTGTGTGCATGCATGCATGCTTGTTTATGTGTGTGTGTCTGAGAAAGGGACTCACTCTGTAATCCAGGCTGGTCTTAAATATGTAGCAATCTTCCTGCCTCAGCATGCTGGTTTTAGAGTATTACATTTTGGGTATTTTTCTTTTTTTTTTTTAATTTTGGAACACTTTTGTTAATTTTTCAACTGTAGCAATAAAATGAGCAAATTAAAAAGTTATGAAGTTTCTGTTTAAGCAATTTCAGTAGGGGGGCTGGAGAGATGACTTAGCGCATACTGGTCTTCCAGAGGACCCAAGCTAGATTCTCAGCACACACACACTGAGCTATTTACAACTGCCTATAACAGCTTCAGGGGGAGCTAATGCTACTGGCCCCCTCAGGCTCTGGCATTTCCATGCACATACCCACACACATACACATAATTAAAAAGAATAAAACAAATCTTAACATCAATAACAACAAAAGAACTTCAGTAAGATTTATCTATGTCTAAAGCAAGTCTTAAGGATTCTTTTATTTTTTAGTATTGGAGATTTTAACTCATGCTAAGCATGCACTCTACTACAAGCTGTACTTTCACGTTCCAGAGCCACTAATAAAATGAGTAATTTTAATTTTCAAGTTACCTGCTTGTGGTACCCAGACCTGGCTGCTGTTTGCTGTGAGTGGAATGAAGAGCCGGTAATTCCAGGGAGCAGGAGGAAGGCCCATGCTGGCTCCAAATCGACAGTACTCTGCCCACAGAGTAGGGCAGAGAACAGAAGACCTTGTCTGCTATGGAGGCTGGAGACCTTAACCCTTTCAAGCCCTGTGTAAACTGGGTCAAGAAGAGCCTCTGTATGGTAGGCATGGGATTAGAGGAGCTCCGTTTTTTTGTCCAGATTCGGTAACATCCTGGTGAACAAAGTGCTAGAAGTGTATGAAGGCCAAGGACAGAGCAGTCTGCTCTGGTCTGGACTATGGCAGTGCCTCCATAGTCTTGAAGAGGAGCTGTAGTCTGTGGAGGAGCCTGAGTGTGTGCCTGACTATGGAGGCCAGTGTCTTCCCTGAATGTGGCCATCCCAGGGCAACCATGAGACAAGAAAAAAGAAAAGGTCCACTTCGGAGGTTGAGATGGGCACTGGGAGGCCTCTTCTAAGGCAAGCCTCGCTGGGGCACAGTGCTCAGGGAAAGTCCTGGAGGACTCGGTCATGCAACTGGAGGCTGATTTCACATGAAAGGAAAATGGGAAGATGTTGGACCCAAACAGTAGTGATGGCATCTTGTTACTCAAATCTATGAAGTTCATTTGGACAGCTTCAAGAGAATAAAGTGCCAAGGGCTTACTATTAGGCCTCCTATCCCATCCACTAGCTGCCAAATACAGATCCAGATGCACTGCATTACATGAAAATCCATCTAGGAACCTTTTGTATCTGAGGTGCTTGTAGCTTTTAGTCGCTGGAACAAGAGCAGAGGAACACCGCCAATATCTGAGTTTCTCGGTCTTTGTGGCTGGCATTAGTTTGGAGGCAAGGATGGACAGCTTGTTTAGTAAGGCAGATTCTTTGGTAGGCTTTCTAGAACTCAGGCCCTTCAAGGGATGGCACAGAGTAGCCCTCTGCTTTGGTATGTGGCTAAGCAAGCTCTTGACAGGTTCTGCTTCAGGTTCCAATGGGGTGGGTGCAGGCTCAGCACATGAGCTGAGAAGTCTGTGTACTTTTGTGGGGATGGGATTAGAGGAAGTCTTTCCAAAGGCAGAACTTTGGACTTTACTTACTTTTCTCCCCACACTGACAGGCTCCTCCTGACAGGAAGCTCTCTTACATGTTCGGTGGGGCTGCTTCTTTAAGGGAAATACTATTTTCTGGTGGGAAGCAGTCATGAAGGCAGCATGTATTTGGTCACACCCAGCAGAGTTGGGGTTTTGCTCTTTCCAGCAAACACTAGGAAGGCAAGGACTACCTTTTTCTGATGGATGACCCAAGCTTTCCTCTTTTGGGTCTTCCAACCTCGGAAGCCGTCTTACAATTTTGTCTTTGGTGGACTCACCCTGGTCAGCCATAGGTTGTTTTTTATTTTGCCCCTCACCTGAGAACATATCAGACAATGTGTGTTGTTCCAATGGTGTATGGGTACATTTTTGATGTGTATGTGACAACACATAATCTGAAACCCCCTGGCTTTGTTTTTTAGCAACATCATGTATTCTCTGGCATTTCAAGTGGGTCTGAGAACTCTTGTTAAAATCATGACCATTTCTGGTAATGTTCTCAGATTCTTCCCCAACAAGTAAGTGACCCAGAGGTCCCTTCTGATGCTCTTCAGTTTCTTCTCTATCCACTTTAATTGCTGTTTCTGCTGTCAAAGTCTGATGCCTATCAGTGGAATTCTCACAAGAGTGACCAGCTTTGCAAACACTCCTGCCCACATGGACACAGGTTCTTTCTCCTTCATTAGAATTACCTATATTCCTTGCTACTCCTTCCTTCACTTCAGACAGGACTGTGCAGTGCTTCATGTTTTCACAAAGCATTTTACCATCTTTTGGTTTAAAAAGATGTTTCAGGTCAAATTCTTTACTATCAACATTAGGTGCTAAATTTTCTTGAGCAGACATATGGAAATGCTTTATCTTGATGGAGTCCAAGCTCTGTGGGGAAAGAGAGTCCTCTTCTTGGCACCTACAGGACTTCAAGTCTTTTGAGGATAATCCAACGGCTTTTTCCTTGCCAAACTCAGAATTTGATTCTAGCCTTGATCCTTCAGTCATCCCTGGGGCTTCTCTTAGAGATCTTCCTTTGCCTTGATGATCATAATAAATAGAGTTTAAAGACATGCTTCCTCTATCTAGTTTTCTCATATTTGGTTCATGATCTGCAACAGATTCTACCTCATGGGCAATGGCAGAATCTGGGCACTCTTGGACCTCACAATTTTTTAAAGATCTGCATATTTTTTCTTCACATGATTTTTTCACTTCAAGAGATTCTACTGCAGAAACAGCAACATTTGGGAGTTCTGAATCCTGGTCAGTTGTTCCTGTAAATGTAGCATTCAGTTCTTGTTGCTGAGATGAGGTCTTCTTCAAGGTTACATGGAATGACAGTCTATCAAGCCTTGTATGACTAAATGCAGAAGACGATTTCAGGGCCGGCATACCTTCTGTAGGCCTATCTGCACAGTCTGTATAGACCACATCTAGCATACCACGGGTAAACTCTTCAGAAGAGGGAATATTTTCAAAGGTTCCTCTGGGATCTCCTTTCTTTAAAATGCCACAAGACAGAGGTTTATTACTGTCTGAACTGACTAATAGATCCGTTTGGTGGTGGCCTACCTCTCTGTTGGACTCTGTGATAGTCTCTCTGTGGTTACCACTTAGTACTTCCCCACCTGGGTGACCTTCACTTTTGCATTTGTCTGATCTGTTTTGGTTACCCTGATGGTCAAGGACTTCATCTGCTTTCTGGTCAAGACTTTCAACTGCTTGGTTCGTGTTCTTACAAGGAGATAACATAAGAGTCAGAGACTGGTTCAGTAATGATTCAGGAATTGGAATGTTTGTAGATTGATTTCGTTCTTGTGCAGCACAAGCAGAGATGCTGTATTTACAAAACACAGTTTCTTTGTGTATATTCCGTTTCTCTTCACTCAGACCTTCCTGGCTGGTTTCCATGTGATGGGCAGTGTGAGTGGCTAAGTTCAAGGGTCCACTCTCTGAGACACATGCTGCCATTTCATTTCTGACCTGGTCTCCCAGAAATCTGCTTTGGGTTCCTCTCCCAACATGTTCGCTCTCCTCTAAAAAGCTCCTGTTTTTCACTGAGGCTTCTGGTCCTTGGGAGTGATGATTACTATGCTGAAATGCATTTTCACACTGTATCATTTTACAGTTCTTGTTCTTCAGGGTAATTTTTCTGGGCTCAAAAGCAGCACAAGCAGAACACATACTCTTTTTCAGATTTCTTGTTACACAATGCCAGCTAGCGATATCCTGAGATAGAACATTTTGGCATTCTGTGACAAAGACTGCTTGAGGAAGGCCAGCTGTTTCTTTGACACTTGAAAGGACCGTGGAATGTAGATCTTCTGTTCCTGAATCAGAGGTTTCTTTTTGTCCTTGTAGGCTTCTTGTTTTCATGTTTAAGGTGTGTATGTTTGAAGAGGCACCACAGGTTTTGTCACCTTGTGGAGAGATGGCTTCTGTTTTTGTCTCAGGAATGGTCTGGGTATCAGTGATAACATCTGCTCCATTATCTAAATGATGATGACTCTGTTGAGCATCTTTGCACGCTGCTAAAGGCATCTCTCTGTTTATATTTAATATAGGGTCAGTAGGCAATGTCAAAGGGTCTTGAGAATTAAGGGACACTTGTCGATTTAAAACACATTCATTTTCTATTTTGTGTACAAGTTCACTGTTACAAGGAAGTTCACTCATCTCACAGGCAATTATCTGTTCATCTAAATGTGAAATGTTGCCATGTAAGGTCTGTATATCTTTTTCTGATTTAAGTCCACAATCAAATTCTGGAGATGGTAGCAACTGAACAGTATCTTTCTTGGGTTTTGATACCTCATTACATACAGAACTTACTGCATCTCCTGGCATTAAACTCACAAGGGGTTTTCCTTCAGAAAGAAAATCACTGCAAGATGCTTCATTTGGCTGAGAGCCACCCAGATTTCTGTGGACACTGACTAAGGACTCAGAGTCTTTGCTGTAAATCTGTTTGTTGAACACACAGGGCTTTACTGTGGTTGTCTGTTCTGGCTGCACCAAGGAAAAATTGCTTTCTTCAGAGTGTCTGCCAGGATGGGTCACACTAGTAATGGTTTTTCTATGGTCCTCAGAGTTTGTCAAATTACCTTGAATGTCTAAAGTGATTTTCAGATAACTTTTTTTAAGCATTAATTCTGTGGCTTCAGTAAAAGAACTGGGCACAGAAGAATTTTCTGCTGTACAGGAACTAGTGTGGACACAGCACTTACTTCTTGTGGAATCAGCAGTCTCTTTTTCATCATAACCACCTCTGGTGTCCTCTTTTTGTTGCCTGACACTAAAAAGGAAGCGATCCCCTCTTTCACTCCTGGGACTCAAACACTTTTCTTTACTTTCTTCTCCACAAGCCGTGTTCTTGCTTAGATAAACCTTGTATGCCTTTTCAACAGAGTCCTTTATCAAACCATTGCTTTCAAAACCACATTTTTCTAAGGATTTTGTTCTGGATTCTGGGCCAGACAAATGTGATGTGAAATGCAAAATTTCAGAGTTTTCTTCTGAGGGTTTTCTAGCATCCACATGCCCTGTAGCTATGGAACTATCATGTACAGAACTGTGTTTTTCCTTATGGTGGCCAAGAATCTCTTGGTGATTGTCATCTGCTTCAAAGACAAGGTTTAAGTCACATAACTCTTCCTTCCCTTTGTCCACTTTGGAAATGGCACAGTTCCCTGGTAATGACAACCAAGAGGGACAAGTCTGTAATTCTCCATATTCCTTCTCTTTAGGAGTTGCTTTAGTTAATCCAGGGTCCACAAAGGTTAAAGGTTCTAGGGACATTAAAGTTCTGGTTTCTGAAAGTTCACCACTGGTCATGGTTTTATCTACTTCTGGGTGTTCAGCGCACCCAGCTGAGAGACATTTACTCACTGCGCCATCCTTGTGGCCTTCATTATTATCCATCTCAGTCCCATTGACCTTCATACCTTGTACATCTTCAGTGGGTTTTGGCAGAGTTTCATCTGTATTCTGTACATTTCCTTTTACAGAAGAAAAATAAACACAAATCAGCATGTAATCATATATGTAAATTTCATCATGCAATCAACAGTAAAAAACAACCACAACAGCCAGGCGTGGCGGCGCACACCTGTAGTCCCAGCACTTGGGAGGCAGAGACAGGCGGATCTCTGTGAGTTCAAGGCCAGCCTGGCCTACTGAGTTCCAGGATAGCTGGGGCTACAGGGAGACCCTGCTTCAAAAAGACCAAAAAGACAAAAAAACAAACAAACAAACAAACAAAAAACCACAAAAAAACCAATGACAAAATTTAGTGTGCCATACAAGCAGCTTTGTGAATTTTTGTTTTTGCAAAAATATGATAAAGAGCCAAAAATGTACCTGACAGGAGCAGATAGTTTTGAAAAGGTAAAACTACCTCTTTTTTTTCACATTACCTGGCACTCACAGACCAATACTAAACAACCAAATAAAGCATGTGTCTAATTTAGTCTAAAGAAGGTGCCATTTTTTTTAATCATTTTTTAAAAATTTTTAATAACTACATGATTACAAGAAGCATTTCACTACAGCTTTAACATATTCAGTAACACACTCCAGAGCAACAGTACATCTCTTTCAGAAGGTAACCG